TTTTGATAGGGGATATTAACTTTTTAAAATTTTGAGAAGTTAAAATGCAAAAATTAGAAATTTTGAGAGGTGATGTGCAATTTACCCTAATATTTAAAATATTGAATGAAATTAAATTACATATACCACTGCAATATTTAATTGCAATATTTAACATTCTAAAGTGGGCTGTGCTGTGCGGGCACCCCTGGGCCCAATTCTGCAGCCCGAATGCAACAAACAAATTATTGGTGATCTGTGATCATAAATTCTTCATTAAAGAACCAAACCAAATCATTGAAAATAAAATATATATTAAATTTTCTTTAAATTTACCAAGGGGATTATCTCAAATAAACTGTGAGTTTCATCAACATTCAAAATACCATTTTTTTTTGGGTCCATTAGATATACACCCCTCATATGGAAAATAAATAGGGATAGGTCCACCCCTAAAATTCTTTCTTTGAGATAACCCCCTAGAGAGGGAAAAGTACTATTGTGCCCTTATTTTACTATTTTCGCCCAACTGCATTCAGCATTTTTGCTACTGCATTTAGTATTTTTTTTTTTTTTTAATTTTTTTTTTTTTTAATTTTTTTTTTTAGCTTTTTTTTTTTTAGCTTTTTTTTTTCTGATTTTTTTGCCCGAAAACTTCCCTGTTTCGAATATGACTATATATGACTATATAAGTTTTTTTTTTTTTTTTTTTTTAGTTTTTTTAGCTTTTTTTTTTCTGATTTTTTTTTCCCGAAAACTTCACTGTTTCGAATATGACTACATATGATTATATAAGACTATAGTCATGTACTGTCTTTTTACCCAAAGTTATGGTCGACCGATTATATATATCGTTGATTTTATAAAAAAAAATTCATCTACATCTCCAACAAAATTCAAAATTTGAATAATGATATTATAAATCAATTCGCACCCAACAAAAAATTGAAAAAGCGCAATCATCAACATCACTATACATCAGAATCACCACATAACTTATATATGACTATATATAACTACATGTGAATATATATGACTATATCTACATGACAATATGTGACTATATATGACTACATGTGACTAAATATAACTACATGTATATGACTACATGTGACTATATATGACTACATGTGACTATCTATAAAAGTATAGTCATATATAGTGAAATACACAGTCACATGCAAATGTTACTAAATGTTACTATATGTTACTATATATTACTACATGTGTCGAAACCCTATCAAACTTTTTGCCATCAGGGTCTAGCTCGTCAACTCGAAATATATCTTCAAAAAGTGTTTCCACCATAGTTACAGCACTGTGTCGAAACCTAAATCCAAAAACAAAACACGATAAGTCCTGGCCCATCAAATTACACATTTTAGATGGTGTAGAATTTCACATCGGTTAAAGTATTTTTCTGCGTTTATTATATTGCAAATCTGTAATGATTAACTACTGAAAATGGAAAATTTCATCCTGATCGTCTCAAATTGAATGGGAAATTCACAATGCTAGAAATAGTTTTTTAACATGCTATAAAAAAAGAATACTTCGGGGGTAACAAAAGCGTATTCGATTTCAGAAAATTGAAAGTTAAAACCACAAGGCTTGTTTTAAAGCTGGATTAAGTATCACTGGCTAAACACATAATGTAACGTGTACAACACACACACACACACACACACACACACACACACACACACACACACACACACACACACACACACACACACACACACACACACATATATATATACAGAGAGATGTCAATTGTGAAAGCAAAGTAGATGAGCAAAAAAACAGCAGCGAATGCAGAAAAGGTGGAGAGAGAAACAGAAAACCCAAACGAAACCCTAGATCAATCAATCCCCAAGTACATCACAAAAAAATAAGAATCTTAGCAAATAAATAAAAACAAATCAAATATACAGTCACATGCAAATGTTACTAAATGTTACTATATGTTACTATATATTACTACATGTGTTTACATGTGCTGGATCATTAAGACGTGGAATCAACGAATTCATACATCTATAATCTATCTAAATAAGATGATATATTGCTCTTAATCTTGGACTGGTTTCACAATACTAACAAAATCATGACTATTAGAGATAGTTCATACATCTATCAGGCCTTTTATACATGAATTCAATGGTGACAAATACTAGCACAAAAACATTGAGTGGATATCATCGGTTGGGGAAAATTCACACAAACTACATCATATCATTAACCATTAACCATTAACCATTAACCAGAGTAATTAAATCATGTCAAATCTATGTAAATTGTTAATCATAAGAAAATGATTTAGTAACTAAATTACTTAATCATCATTAATATTCAAACAAAGTTATAATCTATGTCATGGAGAGTTGATGAAATTCGTAACATAAAAGAAGTACTCACGTCAATTCCGATGATGACAGCACCTTCGGCAAGAAACAGAGTCATGTGACTCGTGAGATTAAACGGCGCTGTTTGGCAACTGCCCCGAGGAAAATTGAGCCGGCCGCCCCCTTTTTTCCCAGCTTCGAAATTGCCGACATCATCTTCTCAAACGCCGCCGTGTTGAGAGTCGACCCATCCCCCATCCCTCCAAAGTCAGTCAAGTTGAACGACAGAGACTTCAGATCTTGGCGGCGGCGGCGGTGGTGGCCGCGGCGACGGGAGATAGATCGGATCTGGCGAGATAGGGGGAGATGTAGAGAGAGAGAGAGAGAGAGGAGAGATAGATAGATAGAGAGAGAGAGGGGGGGAGAGTTGGTGGGTCTGAGATGGTGGGTCTGAGATGGTGGTTGCGACACGTGAGGGAAGAGAAAGAGAAGATTAGGTGATAGGATATTTATTGAATTGAAATTAAAGGGTAAAATGGGTATTTTAAATTGTTCAGGGGGGTCTCACAAATTAAGATTAGAATTTGGGTTTTTGACTAAGGAAGAAAAAAACATTGGACCTCCTTATATATATTTTCAAAACTAGGGGGGTATCACTCATTTACCCTTTTTTTTTTTTTTGCATAATGTATATCCGTATGGGTAAACGACGGTCATCCCAGAGGTGACATCAAATTACGAAAAACTCCATCTTTCCTTTTTTGTTTGGGTAAAAATAACTGGAAGTTCCAACCAATAAGAATTCTAATGAACCTAAAAAAACGATAAGAGCCCAGCAAAAATTACTTAATTTTTGAGCTCCCATTATAAGTTCTATCCATATATGTTGTGATCGCAAACTCATACTTGATCCGATCGCATTTATTGGAATTGAGAGAATATCCCAATAATTTTGACTCAACTTTTTTTTCTTTTTTTTTTCGGAAGGCACTCTCATCACCTAGCTCTACTTTGATGTGAACTAGCACTAGTGTGATGGCAACCTTTAGGAAGAATTCATCAAACTGGTTAGATTTAAAATAATAACATATTTGTTCTTCAACTATGAATTTGTTTTTACATGTTCATCCTTGAGGTATCAAATTTAATAGAATTGTAAAATTATATGAAATATGACCCAGTTTGTCTTTATTTTATTTCATTCGAACCCCACATTTTGAAATAAGATATCATAATATATATTTATTGGTTTGTAAAATTAAATTGTGCTAGATCAAATATATATATATATATGTGCGTCACTATCAACATATATAACTTGTTCATATCCTCTTTCTAATTGCAATTTTTTATATTATTAATTATTAAATGAAGTGCTGTGTTTGGGCTCCATATTTATGCCAAAGGACTTTACTTCTTCCAAAGAAAATAAGAGAGAATAAAATATCTAAGGAGCATGAGTGGTTGTTAAAAGCAAAACATAAAACCTCCTCGTAAAAGGACAACACTATTTTATTTACAAAGATTAACACTCATGTGGTTAAAAGATTTTGTAAGTGACCCGTGCTCGTAATATCAATAGATAATTCTCTTGTGGTTGATAAATATAGTTTCTGTTAATTTTTTCGTCAAATTTAATTGTCTGTGTCAAACTTTGAGATGGGTTCATTTGCAAAATTTAAAAGAAAAATGTAAGCACAAGAGAATCATCTGAATAGAGTATCTTGACATTTGACACTTACATTTAATTTTGACGGAAAAATAACATAAACTACCCCTATTAACCACAAAGGACGGTTACGTGCTAATATTAAGAGTACAATGGTCTCATCTGCAAAATTTTGTAACACAATGGTCTCATCTCCAAAATTTTGTAACCAGATTTTCAAATGCTATTTACCCTAAAAAAGAAAAAAACCCTATCCTAACTAGGAAACTATGACCAAATAAAAGAAATTAATTTGAACAAGAAAATCTCAAGAATCTATATAATGTAGGTTACAACAAAAAACAATTTGCTCAAAAAAAAAAAAACAAGAATATAATTAACTAAGAAAATAAGGTTAATTACGAACACACCTGAGGTATGGTTAAATTATGGAAACCCCCCTTATGTTTGGGTAATTACAGTCACCCCTCAACTATGTATTATGTTACGAAAAGACCCCTCTAGAGGTAAATTTAGGGATGTTAAATCGGTAAAACCAAACCGAAATTTCGGTACGCCAACATTTCATACCGTTTACCGAACTGAATATACGATTCGGTTCGATAAATAACTGAATTGCATAAATTTTATTGAAAATTATTTAAGAAGGGAGTGGCTGTAATTACCCAAACAAAATGGGTTTTTTTCGTATTTTATCTATACTTTAGGAGGTGGCCGTAATTTGCCAAAGAAATTAATTTGAATAAGAAAATCTTAAGAATCTACCTAATGTAGGAAACAACAAAAAACAATTTGCTCAAAAAATAAATTAAAAAAAGATAACAAGAATATAATTAAATAAGATAAATTATATTCACCCATTCCATCCTTTTCCTATGGCTGCGACAGAGGTCTTAACTAAATCTCCCATTGGGTTTTTGACCAATACTTTTCTTGACTTTTCAATTTTGTACTTCTCTATATATTTTTATTTATTGAAGAAGCCGACACTTTCCTTTATAGTTTGTTCATACTTGATTATTAATATATTATTACTGCAAACGAATTTATCTGCAGACCTTTTTCCTTAAACTGCCCGAACAAGGGAACAAAAAAAACACACACACACACACACTATTTTTCCCCTTGTCAATTATTTTCCACATTTATGAGTTGAAGAAAGAAGTGAACAAGAATCGTTTGTCCTTCCCCTTCTTTAAAGATTGGATTTTTAGGGCAACCCTTGAGTTTTCTTGATCTTTCTTAAAACCCCATGATCATTCTTGCAAGAAACTGAATTAAAAAAATTTAAAAAAATTGGGGCTTTATTTTTTTTGTGCCCATCAAATATATTTCTTTATTGAGTATAAAGAATCAGATGGGTAGAAGGAAGAATAAATTATTTGATATGAATGAGGTAGTGAAATTATTTTACAAGTTGTTGGATGAGCAGCCTCTGCTTTTATTAGTGATTCCATTGTTGGTTGTTCTTTGGGCTGTTGAGAAGTGGTTTTTTTCTCTCTCTAATTGGGTTCTTCTTGCTCTTGCTGTGTGGGCTACAATTCAGGTACTAGTTCTTCCAATTTTATTTTATTTTTATATTTTTTTTGGGTAACTTTTTGGTGTGATTTTTAGTGCAGATCATAGGCAATAAGCATGATAGTTCTTGCAATTTTTTTGTAATTTTTGATGTGATTCTTAGTGGTGATCATAGGTTTTTTCGAATATGTATGTTATTCGTAAAAATATAATCTTTTATGTCTTGAATTATTAAACTAAAAAGATGCATCTTTTAGCATTTTGATCCAGAATTGATGTTAAAATTATGTTTCACTACTTCTTGATGGTAATGAATTTGAGAATTCTTCATCAAAATCTTTGTAGTAATGGAAATACCGAGGTTATAAATGTGGTTTATGTGTAAGAAATGTCGTTGGAAAAATACGCGAAATATTGAATTAAAATGAGCATAAATGTGAATTTTTTGCCTTTTTTAGTACTTAAACTTTGATTTGCGGTTGAGAATACGTAGGGCGTGTTCTAATTATGTTCTGAATTTAGGACTCAGTTACTTAGAAGCTGTAAAAATAATTTGTGGTAAGGATTTTTTTTCTTTTATTTTTTTATTTTAGTGCTGTTCTCAAGATTATGTCTATTTGAAGTATGATGTAAGATTGACAGTGAGAAAATATTGAATTATTCTTTCACATTTAGGACAAAACATTTTTCTTGTAAGAAGCATGTATATGTTCTCAAGATTGGTACGAATCCCATGTCTATAGACAAGAGAATGGACCAACATCTCGTAGGAATGTATTTTTCGTGATTATTTTCTTTATTTAGTAAATCGGAAGTGGGAAATTAAATTGGTGAAAATAATGCAGGAATATTCTCTCGAGTATCTTATAATTCTATTTACATGTTAAACAAGATTGGCCATAACGTCCTGACTTGTGCTTTTGTCTCTTTGAAGTACGGGAGTTATCAGAGACGAAATATTGTCGAAGACTTGAATAAGAAATGGATGCAAATGACACTACAAACTTCGGTAACTATCTATTCATTTTATTTGTAATAATATATATTTTTTAAATTATGTTTGAAAAAAAAAATTGATCTTTATATACGTACGCAGCCAACGACACCTTTAGAGCATTGTGAATGGTTGAACAAGCTATTACTTGAAATTTGGTTGAACTTTATCAACCCGAAGCTTTCTTTACGGTTTGCATCTATTGTTGAGGTAACTATTCTTTTCTTTCGATACTTATTACAAAAATCATATTGCTTATATGATACTTACTCGCATTCTTTTGCAGAGACGCTTGAAGAATCGAAAATCAAGACTAATTGTAAGCCTGTTTCTCCATTTTTTTTTTTAATATAATCAACAAATTATCTACACCATAAACTGCTAAAACGGTCGATATAATATTGAAAATAAATAAAAAAAAAATCGATAATTGACTAATATTACGATATTACCTTACTACAGGAAAAAATCGAGTTACAAGAATTTTCACTTGGTTCGCGTCCTCCTTTATTTGGACTGCATGGAGTCCGTTGGGCTACTTCGGGTGGTCAGGTTTGATATTTCTACTCCGCTTATTTTATTTTATTTTTTATTTTTATATATTTATTTTTTTTAGGACAAAAGTGTAACAGATTTAATTTGCAGCGAATAATGCGATTGGGTTTTGACTGGGACACGGATGATGTAAATATAATGCTGTCTGCAAAGTTAGCTATGCCTTTAATGGGAACTGCTCGAATCGTTGTAAACAGCATCCACGTCAAGGGTGATGTACGTATGCAGTACATCGTTATTATTTTCTTAATTGATTTTAATTTGTCCTCTAATTAAAAAAAAAACAAAGTAATTAATTTATTTGCACGATGCAAACAGCTTCTTTTGATGCCGATATTAGAAGGGAAAGCGATAGTGTATTCGTTTGTATCGACTCCCGAAGTGAGAATCGGTGTCGCTTTCGGAAGTGGTGGAAGCCAATCTCTACCTGCAACAGAGCTGCCAGGTGTTTCGTCATGGCTGGTACGAATAATACGTCGGTGATATTATATGAAATAATATTTTTTTATATAAAATAATGTTTTTTTATATATAAAATAATGTTGCGACCCTTCACCGAGGCCTTGTTGGGAATTAGGATTAGGCTTCATGGATAGTATAATCAAGCTTTATCAAGTGTTTCGGGTTTAGGTTTCAGGCCCGTGATTAAAAACGGGCCCGGATTTTCACGAAGTGCATTTTGTTTGTATTATTACACAATTGTACGTAGGTTATTACCCAAGATAAAATAATTTTATGAAAAATAATCTCGCGGGTAGCTAAGATTAGAGTCGTTTTCTCCACAATTGCGGGCCAGCCCGAAAAGTTATTGGAGTAACCAAACACATTTAATGAGGTCCGACTATTTAATCAATCATGACTAATCTTACCAATCGAACGAGGCCCACATGGATCGTATAACCACGAATCCCAAACATAAGATAATCACATAAACGAGGCCTGAAAAAAATTAGTCAATCCCGAGGTTAATTAGTCAATCAAAGTACGAAATCGAGTACATTCTTCCCTTCTATTTCTCCACATGTTAAATCATGTTTCATATTAATTTTCGCAGGTGAAAATTGCGACGGACACATTGAATAAAAGAATGGTCGAACCTCGAAGACAATGTCTAGCTTTGCCACCTCAAGATTTCTACAAGCAAGCTGTAGGTGGTGTATTATACGTCACAGTTCTCTCAGCTAACAAACTCTCTCGTTGTAATTCGAAGGGCACTTGCTCGACAAAACAAACAAACTCTTCGATAGATACTCATACAGAAAACCGAGCTGAAAGCAAAGAGCTTCAGACATTTCTCGAGATTGAGATCGAAGAACTTACGAGGAGAACTGATATTAGGGCAGGATCTTGTCCTAAGTGGGACACGACATTCAATCTCATTCTGCACGACAATGCGGGAATCGTTAAGTTTAATCTTTATGAAAGAACCCCTGGAAACGTAAAATACGATTATCTTACAAGCTGTGAAATTAAGGTATTTTTTTATCTACTCTAATTTATATGTCATTGAAGAAATAATTAGTTCTTGATCTTATGTTGCTTATAGTTTTATTTGGAGCACTTCACGAAAACGTTTTCCATATCAATGCAGATGAGATATGTTTCGGATGATTCAACCGTATTTTGGGCCGTTGGATCTGATTCCTCCGTGATTGCCAAGCATGCCGAATCTTGCGGAAAAGAAATCGAAATGACAGTTCCGTTTGAGGGATTTAATTTAGGAGAGGTATTTTAATATTTTCTCATCGCCCCACACTTGTCGATAGTTATCTAGTAAGGCCTCGTCTGGGAATAATGACAGCACTTTGATAGACAATATACTCGAGATATATCAAATGTTTGGAGTTTAGACTTGAAGCCCGTGATTAAAAACGGGCTCGGAATTTAATAAAGTATATGCGTTATATTTTAGTATAAAAAGCGTATAATTGGAAAATTTTGTTAATAATAATTAATCTCGTTCGAAAAAACTACTTTGCAGTTGACAGTTAGGCTTGTGCTTAAAGAATGGCAATTTGCCGATGGCTCACATAGCTCGACTAGTTTAAGCAGTAGCTCTCGTCGTTCACTAAGTGGGCATGGGCCCACGAATCATTTTTCGAAAACCGGAAGAAAAATCTGCATTACTGTAGTAGAGGGCAAAGACCTTCTTGTCAAGGACAAAATCGGAAAATCCGACCCTTATGTTAAACTGCAATACGGCAAGGTAAAAAAGCGTGCTTCATAATTGCTTTTTTTTTTTTTTTTTTAATAATTCTCCATTCTTTATCGAAACTTAATAAATTTATTATTTTATTTTATTTTTTTGCAGTCGATCCAAAGAACAAAACATGTCCCACATTCTTCGAATCCAGCTTTCCATCAAAAGTTTGAATTCGATGAAATAGGAGGCGGTGAATATTTGAAGATAAAATGCTATACCGAAGAAACGTTCGGCGACGAGAGTATAGGTAGCGCACGGGTGAATTTGGAAGGGCTTCTAGAAGGTTCCGTTAGAGATGTCTGTATTCCTCTCGAAAAAGTCAACTCTGGAGAGTTGAGGCTTCAAATCGAAGCGGTCAAAGTCGACGACAGTGAAAGTTCAAAGGTAACATATTCATTTTTATTTTCATTCAAATTAATTCAGAGTAACTAATTTTATTTTCATGGTATTATTTTTAGGGTTCGTCACATGCAAATGGTTGGATTGAATTGGTTCTAATCGAAGCAAGGGATCTTGTTGCTGCCGATTTTCGAGGAACGAGCGATCCCTTTGTGAGGGTGCAATATGGGCATTTGAAGAGAACTACTAAGGTTAGATTTTTGTAACCGACTCGTATTTTCAAGACACTTGGTATTTGATCCTTCAATTTATCGAAGATGAAAATCTTGAAATACTATAATCGGCAATATTCTAAGGGCTCGTTTGGTTGGGGAGATTAGCCATGATTAATTAAATAATTAGACTTTGTTTAATATTTGGTAAACCCAATAATTTTCCGGGTCGACCCGGAAATATTATTTTATTATGGCAATATCTTGTCCGATCCAATAATACAACTGGGTTTTCATTAGATTATTTAATCTTATCTTGATTAATCTTATTTTATAAACCAAACGAGACCTAAGAGAGAAATAAATAAAAAAATCATCGTCTTTTTTTTGTTCTTCGACGTGTCTTTGCAGGTTATGTACAAAACGCTGCACCCAAAATGGTATCAAACATTGGAATTTCCAGATGACGGAAGTACCCTCACGTTGCACGTAAAAGATCATAATACTTTATTGCCAACTTCAAACATAGGAACGTGCGTGGTCGAATATCATATGTTGCCGCCCAATCAAATGGCCGACAAATGGATACCTCTCCAAGGGGTAAAACGGGGAGATATTCACGTTCAAATTACAAGAAAAATCCCGGAATTGGAGAAGAAACCTAGCGTAGGTTCCGATTCTTCCCCAACTAAAGTTCACCGTCAAATTTCCGACCAGGTATATATATGATCGGATCTTGATTTTTAAAATAAGGAAAATGAAACACGAAACGAATATAAAATCAAAAAATTACGTATATTTTCACTTTGACACTACCTAGCATTTTACCCTCGAACAAAACGAGAGAAGTGTTCAAAATAGAGTTTTGCTATTTTTAGAATATGGGTTTATTGCATATAGCACCCTTGTATTTACTCTAATTGTAAAAAGACTCCCCGTAATAAATATTAGCAACGTTCCCCTATGAATTAATTTTTATTAGCAAACTACCCCATATAAACGCATTATTTAGGGGGTTGTGCGCTAAAAAAAAATCATCATATGGATTATTTTGCTAATATTTGTAACACGAGGATTTTTTTAGCAGTTCAATATAATACAGGGGTACTAAATACAATAAACTCGTTAGAATATTGAACTATTACTCAAAATCCCGGCTCCGCCACCGACTATTTACCTAGCATTTTTTTCATTGTTTTTTATTCACTAAAACGCGACTAACAAAAGTTCGATTTATTTTCTTGGATTTGAACTAACAGATTAAGGAAATGATGACGAAGCTTCGATCTCAAATCGACGAAGACGATCTTGAAGGCGTATCGAAGTCGGTGAGTGATCTCGAAACTCTACACGAGAGTCAAGAGGAATATATGGTCCAACTCGAGACCGAACAAATGCTGCTAATAAGCAAAATAGATGAGCTTGGACAGGAAATATTTAATTCTTCTTCGTCACCTGATCTTTTCTTGAATAGAACTGTTACACTTCCTTGAATCTTAATTAATTAAATAATTAATTAATTAATTAATATTGTATCATATAATGTGTGCTGAAGGGGAAATTGTGCAGAGTGTATCTGGTTCCTTTAATTTAATCTGGTTTTCTGGTAACTTATTTTTCAGCTATTTCTCTCTCTTTTTTTTTTAATGTTTTTTTTGGTATTTTTTTATATACAAATAAATACAAATTATTATCAAGTGCAGAAATCACAACACGTGATACACATCACCCCCTGTAAATTTATGATTTTCGCATTTTACCCCCTCAAGAAATTTAAAAGTGAATATCCCATTTAAAATGTTATTCTTGTTCCACATTAACTGGATTATTCATTGGAATTGAGTATTTTTGTTGCACGTTGCTCCTTTAAATGTTATTTTTGTTACACATTGTTCCTTAACAACATTACATTTTTACACGTTGCCCCTTTAAAATGTTATTTTTCTTGCACAATTCCCTCTAAAATTTGGCTTTCGTGGCAAAGTGCAACCAAAATAATTTTTCGAATGGGGAGTATCCATTTTTTGATTTTTTAGGAGGAAAGTGTAAAATTGGAAAATTTATAGTGGGCAAAGTGCATTTTGTCATAATTTAAATAAAAAGAAATAGGGTAAATTACACCTACAGCCCTGAGGTATGCTAAAATAATTATAATTACCATATGGTATTGGTAATTACAATCACCCCTGAAATATTGTTAAAAACTCTAACGGGGTAATGCATTGGATACGTTATTCCGATAGAGTTCTAACAGATTATTACTTTTAGTAAGTGGCGGAGACAACATTTCTTAAATCATCCATAGCTCTATGTTTTCTCCACCACTTCCTAAAACTAATAATCCGTTAGAAATTCTATCAAAATAACGTATCCAATGCATTATTTTATTAGAGTTTCTAACTATGTTTCAAGGTTTCAAGGGGATGAGTGTAATTACCGATACCACATGAACCTTAACGTTATTTTAGCACACCCCAGGGGTGTGGATGTAATTTACCCTAAAAAATATGATAGAAACATGATTGCAACTTGCATACACTTCAAAATATGCGAGTCAATAAAACACATTTGGTTTCTATGTTTAACAAATTTAATACTTCTAGTATTATTTTCCGTTATAAATAACGGAATCAAGCGTGTGTATGTCACTGCTTTAACTGACGGAATGACGGTAAATTGAGGGTTATGACCAAATATATTAAATTATTGAAACATGAAAGACCAAATATATTTTTTGTGAATATAAAAGAGGGATCAAATGTGATTTTCTAGATAAAAGAGATTTGTTTTTTATAATTGAATTTATAAGGGAAATTATAAGAAAATTATTGGCTAAAAAACAATGAAGAAATATAATACGACTAACTAACTTATATTCTACCATTCAACATCCAAAAAATTCCATTCAATAGCTTTAAAAGGGGAAAAACAAATGAATAAATTTGTAATATAAAAGGATTTTTAAAGGCTAATTTTTCGTGTTCATTATTATTTATAATATATGATGCATATTTAGTATACAAATTTAAACTCAGAAAACGAAAACAAAAATTGGATCATCGGTTTAAATACGTCGTCACCTCATTAAACAGCAGATTTTTTCGTTGGAGCCCACAGCATTACAAGAGAGAATCCCATTAACGACATTATTACGGTCTGCAAAGTTAGAACTAGATTATTATCGGAAAAATAACGGAGAGAAAAATAAAAGTCGGAATCTTTTACGTAGAAGATTATTTCATAATGTGTAAAAAAAACAAAAAAAACAGATTATATTTGTTCGACTTACAGAAATAGCAGGAGCAATGCTGACAAGTGGATCTTGGAAAAACCTATTCGCAAGTGCAAGTGCTAGAAGACTGCTCTGCATGCCTGTTTTAACAACTGACACGTAAATATCGAAATTTTTTTTTTTTTTTTTTTTTTTTGTGAATCATATGTTCAATCGTTTTAACTCGAGCGGGTTGATATAAACGAAGGAAATAGTAATAACCTGTCTCATAGGATAGTGTTCTTTGCAAAGCTTTGACGTCTGGCGAATCACGAAAAACGAGACCCGTGAGAGAAAATCCGGCGATAAATGCCGACAAATGGAACGCAATCACCACCACCAGCACTGAAATTCCGGACACTGACATCAGCGACCCCACATTGATAGCGAGTGGCGCTCCAACACAAAGAGCCGTCACAAAAACCGAAAGCAGAGGCAGAATCACCCGAATCGCATCACATATTTTCGGAAAAAATCTGCATTTAGTTTCGCAAGTCAAAACGATGTTCAAAACACTTTTCTTACAAGCGACTAAACATAATCACACACACACACACACACACACACACACAAATATATATTATATAATATATGTGTCTATGGAAAAATACATTTTTCGTCCCTCAAGTTTACCTCGATTACACATTTGGTCCCCGTGTTCCCAAAAAAAGATTTAATCCCTCATATTTCAACCATTTAACACTTGGTCATTTCCGTCAATTTACCGTTGGTCAGTCAGTTAAAACAGTGATGGCCACTTTCTTGATTCCGTTAGTACTAATGAAAAAATTGACGGAGAGGACCAAAAGTGTTATAATTTTCAAACACGAGGGACTAAATCGGTTTTTTGTTTGAACAACTTAAAGGACGAAACGAGTATTTTTTCCGTATAAAATATACGTAAAAGTAAAATACGTACCTATTTAAAAATAATCCAGTTGCAATCGGAGTGACAACAATTTGCAGAATATTCGAAACCATTCCCTTCACATCAACGGGGAGTCTTTTGCCTATAAGCAGTAAGGACAAAAACGGGGTGACGAAAACGGCAGTAGCTGTCGATAGCGACGTCATCACAATGCTGAGTGGGGCCATCTGCGGGTCCGTCAGAAAAGTGGCATAATTCGACAGCTGGGCACCACTAACACAAGACGTTAACATAATCCCAGCAGCTGACAATTAGCACAAGTCATAAGCCCTTTTAAAATCGACTCTCGGTGAAATTAATTAATTTACTATATATATATATTTTTTTTTTACTTTTTTACCTAAGGGAGTCGGGAGACCGAAAATAGTCATTGAAATTGTGCCGAAAATAAAACCGAGAAGCGGCTTCACAACAAATTGACCGACGTAGCCGGCAAAAATGGCGGATGGTCTATTGAATGCTTCGAGAAAATCTTTTTCGCTCGAATTGACGCCGACTGCAAACATCAAAAAGCCTAACGCTGGAGCGTAATATCTGAATATTACGAAATATATATTTTAAGAAAATAAAAATAAAAAATTTATATCTCACGTTAATCGTATGTAACAACGAACCTGTTAGTGAACCAAGTGAACGAAGGAGGGTAAATAAGCGCCAAAACTGTACTTGCTATAACCACTTGAGGTAGAAAAGAATTCGCCCCCTTTAAAATGTTCGTGAACGAAACCTCCTCTTTAATCTGAACCAAATTAACCAAAAACCGACTTAATTGTCGTTAACATAATTTACTTAGTCGAGCTAAATATTTTTACTTCTTCATGTGACAGAATCAACCGAAAATGATTCATTGACTCGAATAAAATGTTCGATGAATTTTTTTTTTTACATTCTAAAATGTTTAGGGCATCAAAATTATGTTCTTTAATACATTTCGTAGCACCCAAAATTGAGTATTTCTTTGTTATTTCATATTCCATAAGCACCAACTATGCAATCAAAGTACATAGTGACTTTTTTCAGCAACAAAAAACGGATCTTTCCTATTCTTCAATATTCGCATTTCTTCAATTCGATTAGGTCAAATTTGTTTATATACATAGGATCCGAAAAATAGTTGGCTGCTAAAATTGCCAAAAAAAAAATAAAATCGACTTTTTTAAGGCCAAAAAAAATGGTCCAATGCGAACACAACTAACTACAAAGGAAATGAAATCGATCGAATACTTGTGCAGGGTACAATATTAAACACGACTCGTTTAAGTACAAACTTTGCTATGAAGACAAAAACTAAAACTAATGAGATCGCATTCGATCTCTAAACCATAATCGACAACGATGATGTGAAAAATGTAGCAAAGATCAAGAAAATACAGAAATAAAAAAAGATACCTTTGGAGATTCCGTTCCATGAGTAGGATAATCCGGCGGTAAATTATCGGGCGCACACTTGCCGATACATAATAATCGAGAAAATCCACCTGCATTTTACTCCATTTAAGTATGCCGAAAAAAATAAATTAACCAAGAATAACTACACTGCACTTATACATAATAAATACATTGAAATGATAGATAACAACAAACCAAATATCAGCAATTTCAACAAACATTTAAACTCCATTATATTTATTTATTTTATTATTACTATTTTTTGTTTTTTTTGCATATAATTGAATTAAATAAAAGAAAAAGGCGCAAAAACTCACCGGAGCCCAAACGAAACGGCGAGCACGACAGACGCAACCCTGGCGGAATTCAATCAATTAAAAATCGAATCTTTTTTTTTTTTTATAGAGTAGAGCTATTAAAAAAAATAATAAAAAAGATTACCAGAAAAATGGGAGCGTTTCTGCGCGGAAGAAGCGGCGGCAACTTCGGTGCAGCCTTTGACCCGGAGATAATCCGGCCGGAGGAAAGATTGCCGGCCATGGAAGTGGTGGTGGTGGTGGTGGTGCAGAAGCTTGCCGTTGGCAATCATTTTTTTATTATTTTCCCAAGTGTTGTTTTTTTTTTCTCAGAAACTGAGTGAATTTGTAATCTCAATCTGTAGTAGTTATATTACTATGTGTGTGTGTGTTTCTATCGTTAATTATAATTAAATCAATTTAATTGATAGTAGTTGAAATTGCATAAAACTCTGACACCAGCAGACCTTTTTGTTAGTAGGTGTACTAAATAAACACTAATTACTTTTCCCAAATCATATATAGAATATATAATAGATCTTGTAAAGGGCTTGTTTGGTTTATGGTCAAATTACAAAAATACCCCTCATATTTGATTAGTTATAACTATTCGCTCAACTATAAATCTTCTTACACGTTCATCCTTATGGTGCTAAATTCAACATAATCTTTTAAGATTCCATGGAATGTTGTTCTCCAATTTGTACTCATTTTATGCAAATATACAGTTTCTGATACACCACGATCTGATATATACAAGCCAAAAAACACATCTTATAATCATATTTTTTTCAAACTATGAAGAAGTTCGAATGGGATAAAACGGGTACGAAGTTGAGAATATTTCATGTAATCTAGAAGATTCCACTAAATTTGACACTGCAAGGGTGGACGTGTAAGAAGATTTATAGTTGAGGGGTGTGGTTGTAATTACTCAAACATGAAGGGGATTTTCGTAATTTGGTTATAATTTATCCTTGACTAAATAATTCGATTTTGTTTGATGTTTAGTATCCTCAACAATTTGTCGGGTCAACCTCCTAATATTATGTTATTATGGCTAATTTTATTTATTTTGCCTTTTAGGTATTTTTGTTGGACGATCCTCAAATCCGATAAAATAATTAAATTTTCATAAGATTATTTAATCTTATCTTAAGTAATCTTATATTGAAAACCAAACATGGTCTAACAGTACTATAAAATTGTTTTTTTTTTTTTTTCAAAAGTTTACTACTTAGAGGTTTCAAAAGCGCGTTACCAATTTTCAACCAATTTCAGAAGTTCACTGCTAATTTTCAGAAGTTTGTTGTCGATTCCAACCATTTTTTAGAAGTTTATTGCCAAATTTTCAGTCTCTGGAGTACACTTTCATCTTTACTAAACTACGAGCTAATTGCACATAACCCCCTGTGTAATCTCGAATAGTTAAAAAGACCCTTGTGTTAAAAATATTAGCAAGAAACCCCTTATGTTATTTTTGAAAAAGCATACTACCCCTAATTTTAAAATTAGTTGTTGACCCATGTGAAATCACTAAACTACCCCTAATTAAAAACAAATAATAAAGTAAAATATCCAAATCACAAAAACGTATCCACCGTCCGTCCATTTTCTGGATGTCATTCTTGTTTCCGGTCATCTTCTCCGGCAGGAATCTTCTTTGTTCCAAAATTCCAAAATCCAGAATAAAAAAAATTGGATCTGGAATTTGGCCACTTCTTTCTCTGTCTCGAAGGTTAGGACATATATCTATGGCGGCCCGGTTGAAAATCAAATGTTGGCCCTCTTCTTTCTCTATGTTGAAGAAAGCCCAAAATCTCAAACCCTAAAATAGGGCTTTTAGAATTTCCTTTGGATGAAGATCCCGATGAAATTCTGGAGCACCGGTAGTCATCGATGTGGCGGCGGCATTAAAGTACGTGGTGGGGAGAATGGGTGGCAATATTGGAAGGATGGTTTGATGGTGACGATGAAATGGTGCTGGGAAGCTGTGTAAAGAATTTTTTTAAATTGCAATTTCTTCCAAAAAGTTGGATTATTTATTTTTAAATCCAAATGAATTTATGTTTAGTTATAAAATAATTTTAGAGGGCATTTGGGACTTTTCATGACAATTATATAACAAAGAGTCGCAGAATCAGCGCGTGTAACACACAATCAGCCCGCAGGGGCTTTTCTGGCTTTGACTAATTTTCACAGGGGAATATTTGTTAATATTTTTAACATGGGGACTTTTTAGCCATTTGAGATTTTACAGGGGTGGTTTTTGCAAAAAACCCGTTAAACTACTATTCGCATTTTAACTAGTTAAAATATCTAGGTTAATTTCATTGATTAATTGCCAATTATCCATAAGTTTTCTATTATATTTTGCCAAAATAAATAATTTAGATAAGTTTGACCCATTGCCAAAATCCACACTAGTTGATGAATATATATATATATATATATATATATATATATATATATATATATATATATATATATATATATATATATATATATATATATATATATATATATATATATATATATATATATATATATATATATATATATATATATAAATGCACTACTAAATTCCATAAGTTTACTATCATATTTTATTAATGGTGGATTGTTTTTAATAATTACTTCATGGATCAATTGTAAATGGCTTTGATAATCTGATGCTGGAGAAAGTCTCACTTAGCAAGAATATAGTTTTCATCACTCAAGTTTGTATCAATTTTCATAATAGCTCGCAAAAGATCTAAATCAGAATAGGCTAATCATTCATCTAAATTACTTTATATAATGTGTAGAACCCTTTAAGTTTAAAAGCTTCATATAAAAATAAAAGCAAGAAACATATAGAACAAGTCTAAACTATTTGACTTTTGTAGGGTAAGAGTACACTAAATTATATTGTATTTTTGTTAATTAAAGAATATAAGATTCTATATATATCAAAAGTCCAATACAATAGAGACATGTTACTAAGATTCTAAATATTAAATATATAAGCTTTTGGTTGCTCTAACATAACAAAAGGAATCTTCTCAAAATAATTATATAGAAAAAGAAAAAAAAAATCACAACAAAAAATCGAACCTTAAACGTAAAGAAAAATGACAAGTGCTCGTAAATTTGGTAAGTCGAATATTTTGACGAACTCAAGCTCGGATTTATTTCTAATAAATTTCTTACTAATTTTTAAGATAATTTATAAAACAATAAATAATTAAACTCAAACTCGTGTATGTTCTGCTTTTTCTTTTGTCTCCAAACATTAGCTATAAGTTAAAACTTAAAAGCAATTTAATTATTATTTTTCCAATTTTAGTATTAAAAGTGTTGTAAAAGGGTGGTCACCGCCACGGTGACGGTAGCAGCCGTCACGCACACCCAATTCAATGATTACTTTATATCTCAAAAGCTTCATTCCGGAGCGTGGCGGTGAAGTCACGACGTGTGCCCCTCCGTTTACGCCACGTGTCCCACCAGACTCAACCTGCTTCTTTACTGTGCTACAGCCATATACGACGCCGTATTAAAAAAAAGAAAATAAACAAAAGGGTAAATTACACCTACACTCTTTAGGTATGCTAAAATAACTTTAAGGTCCCTATAGTCCGTTAGAAATCTAACGGAATAACTGATCCAACACATTATCCCGTTAGGCCTTGTTTGGTTGTCAAGATAGAATTAGTCAAGATAAAATTAAATAATCTAATGAAACCGAATTATATTATTAGCCAATAAAAAATTCCCAAAACGCAAGATAATCAATAATAGTATAATATGTATGGGTCGAACTGGGAAGTTATTAGGTATACCAAATATCAAACAAAGTTCAATTATTTAGTTAATTATGATTAATATTTCCAACCAAACGAGTCATTAGAGTTTCTAACTCTGTTTCAGGGTAATTATAATTACCTATTCCACATGGACATTAAAGGTAAATTAGCATAGATCAGGGGTGTAAGAGTAAATTATCCTAAACAAAATATCAAATTTAAGGTAATTATTATTTATAAATTGATTAAATTATGAATTTGGAATAACTTTTTAATTTAAAGTAAAAGCCTTTCTCTCTCCTCTCTCTCTTTCTCTCTCTTCATCAATCAATTCAATTCAATTGTGTTCTCCAAATCTACAATCGTATACCTAAAACTATACGTATACAAATACGTATAGTTCCTCTGTCTTCTTCCCTCTGGTTCTCTTTCAGTCCACGTTTCTCTCTCTTCCGTTGCGCCACATTCTCTCTCAACCTTTATATACATATATATGTATGTATGTATCTATAATATATACTCAATGATTGGCAGATTATAGCATATGGATACGGAGACAAGTGGGGAATAGTACATAAACGGTCATATTTTGGCAAATTATTATTATTGCAAAAAAAAAAAAAAAAGCTGAAACCCCTCAAATCAGGATTTTTTAGGGGTTCAGTTTTTAGGTTTTTTCTTCTTTGTCGAGTAATTATTGATCGGAGAAATTGGGGGTTTTTGATTTAGTGTGATGTTATTGATGATCCAGAATGCTGCCGACGAGGATCTTAGGATGGGGGTAGATTACGTGAAATTGGAGGAGGGTGGGGCCTGCTGTGCGGCGGAAACGCCGTCGACGTCGGGTTGTTGCGGCGGCGGCGGCGGTGGTGGCGGTGGATGGTGGTGGTTTTTGTGGTGGTGGGCGAAGCTGGTGCTGGTAGTGTTATTTGTTGGCGTGTTGGGTGTGGTTTTCTTCAAGTGGGTCGGACCCTTTTTCATGGACAAGGTCAATTTTTTTATTCTAATTCATCAACTTTTTTTCCTTGTAAATTTTTTTCAGGATTTTGTCTATATAGATATACATTAATCTGTGTGTTTTACCTGCTACTCCTGTAATGGTGGTCGATTAATGCTGAGTTACTGCGAATTTTACTATTTGATTTGCGCTTATTTCAAACTTTTTATGCAATTGGTGCTGAGTGTCTGATCGACGAAATCATCGCTTTAGTGGTATGTTTTGATTAATCATGTGTGTGTGTGTGTGTGAACTGGAGACAATTATGGTGCAGTTTTTGTTTTGTCGGTGTTGCTCTAGTATTAATCATCGAGAATGTTTAGTTTCGATAATGCATTTGACATGTGATTGTTAAAGCTACCGTAAACATAGAGCTGCTTCTATCCAATCACTCGTTACCACTTCTCTTATCTGACATTCTGAACGAATATCTTAATAGTTACATTCACGGCCAACTACACGTACTTTTTCCATATTTGCTGTGCAAAAACTTATGCATACAAGACCATTTTTTCATTCTTCAAAATAGTATTCACTAAGTTTCACCTAGAATCTGTTGATTAAATTTTCTTTCTTATTGAATGTGGCGTGTTCTTATACTTCTTGCAGGAAATCATTCCGATAATAATTTGGGAGAGGCAAACGTTCAGCACGGTTATCCTAGGACTAATAGTGGTTGGTTCTCTGACAATATTTCCATCTTTTCTATTACCTTCCACACCTTCGATGTGGATAGCTGGGATGACTTTCGGTTACGGTTACGGGTTTCTACTGATTATCGGAGGAATGGCTATTGGTGTATCTATTCCGTATTTCATCGGTTCACTTTTCTACCACAGAATCCACGTACGGGCTTTTTGTTATACGTATTTGTTTCAATTTTATTTTTTATTTTTTTTTTGCTGTTGTGGGTTTCTATGCTCAACGGTACATTTGTTGTTTTTCTTTCTTGCGTGTAGGTGTGGTTAGAAAGGTATCCGAAGAGAGCTTCTATCGTAAAACTAGCGGGTGAAGGAAGCTGTTTCAATCAGTTTCGAGCTGTTGCTTTGATTAGGATTTCTCCTTTCCCGTATGTTATATATAACTACTGTGCTGTGGCTACGGATGTGAAGTACCTTCCTTACTTGTTGGGGACGCTCGTTGGAATTGTGCCGGAAGTATTCGTTGCACTTTACACGTGAGAACCCTTTCTCACTCTCACTCTCAATATATATATATATATATATATATATATATATATATATATATATATATATATATATATATATATATATATATATATATATAGAGAGAGAGAGTGTGTGTGTGTGTGTG